GATATGTTTAAACCCAAATCTAACTAAACCCAAAATTAATTTATATAACTATAAATGTATAACATATCAATTGACATTTATTTAAGTGCATTGTGAACTAGGCACATTACACGCATAAATAATACAGTACTAAAATTTTAAGTACTTATAATAATCAATATTATTGTGTAAAAATTGTTTATGAAATTAATATTATCCTGGTCCACTTAAACCAGAATTATGTGATAATATACGATAGTTAATATCTGTAATTATTTTATAAAACATTAATCAAGCACAATAGAATAAATGTATGTATTTAAACAAGTTATATCAATACATTATAGATAACCATGGTCGCTTTCAAAACCCAACAAAGTGTCTGCGCTATATAAACACTCGTAACATTTATTACAAACTCACATTTAATAACAAAATTATTAAAGCAACAAGTTAAGAAAATCTACTTAATTAATTTTAAACCTTGTTAAATAGACAATGAAGTTCACACATATACTAACGCTGGGCAGTTGTCTCGCCGTTTACGGCAACTGCAAGACCATTGAGGTGACCACCGCTGGCCAACTGCACAGCGCACTGTCATCGGCAGCCGCGGGCGATAGCATACATATGGCCGCCGGCGACTACACGGGCACATTCACGGTCATCCGATCGGGCACAGCCTCGGCACCCATTATCTTAAAGGGGCCCAAAAAAGCAGTCCTATCGGGATCTAAGTATGCCTTTTGGCTTAAGGCCGACCATTGGGTGCTCCGGGGCTTTTCGATGGCCAATTCAATTATGGGTCTCGTACTGGAGGGCGCCTCCCATAACCTGTTGGACGACATCGAGTGCTATAATAGCCCTTAAGAAGGCGTCCATTTCCGATAATATATTGCAAAACTCCTATATTCACGACACCGACAAAGGAGAGGGTGACTACTATAAAGGTAGAGGAGAGGGCGTGTATATCGGCCTGTCTGTGAGTATTGTTTTATAACTTGATGAATTATTTTGATATTTATTTATGTGATTAATCCTGTAGTGTTTTAATAAGTACAGTAATCTTGGTGATAAAGTTGTATACCGTATAAAATATATTTTATTTTATTGTGTGATAGAAAATTAAAATCTACACTAGTAAACATAAATTATACATATTAATAATGTAATATATTATTTAATTTATACAACACACACAGCACAACAATGGGTGGACAACAAGGTGGACATGAGCGATCGCAAATAAATACTAAACAATCGGATCGGCCCGGGAGTGACAGCCGAGTGCATCGATGTTTTAGAGGGCACAAACAATGGCGTAATCCAAGGCAATTATTTTGACGGCACCGACATTAAGGGCATCCATTCGGCCGACTCTTGAGTTGACGTGAAGGGCGAGTCGTATGTCATTGAAGGCAATACCGGCGAACACAGCATTTATGATGGCTTTCAGGTATGTAATAATGATGTATATATTCACAGAATATTCTGTATTTATAAAATATTATTTGTAAATAAAAATAATATTTTGTGTTATTTGTAATTAAGAAATATTTTGTAGCTATTAATGCAGGTTTTTTGAATGTGTTTGTTGTAGTATGACTATGTGTGATTTTACTAGCTGTTATTATGCAACTATTAATTGTTTATTTTATTTTATTCCCTTTTGTGATTTAGATTCACTTTGGCCACTGTCCAGACAACATGGGCAGTTGTAACAATACCATTGTTAAAAATGTGTGCCACGGCCTTGCTAAGAACGGCACCTGTGTGCAAAGTAGCACAATCAGTAAATGTCCCAAGGGCAAAGAGAATATACTTCAATAAATTTATCATGAAAGTTTTATTATACTATTTTAATTCAAATGTACCAACAATGAAATTAAATAAACTTGTGAATAAATAGTTTTAATAGTTTAATTTTTAATCATTAGTTTTGCATATCATGTACCGTAGTGAAAAATAACATTATCGTTGTTTTTTTCAAGCTTATTAAATATAACTAGAAAAACATTGTGTTTGTTTATTCCAAACGTAAATGATTGTAATTAAATTGTAAATAAATTGGTACCTGATTAAACAGTTTTAAAACCAATTAATGAAAATATTATAAAATAACATCGTAATTATTACATTGTTCCATAAAATTAAACAGTGTTATTTGTTAAATGATGTATTAATTAATATAGCTAGATAATTACATATTTAGATAATCAATGCCAGGATATTCTTGCGATCGGTTCCCTAACCTGTTGGCTGAATATCGAGGCGCCTATACGTGTAGTATATGTCAGCAAATATTCAACACTCCGGTCACCACAACCTGTTGTCTGCAGACTTTCTGCGAGGACTGTATCACTCAATGGCTTCAGACGAATACTACCTGTCCTTTTGACAGGAAACCATTGAGCAAGGCTAATTTGGTGCTACCAAGGTATTTTAATATTACAAAGTTTATCATATTAATCAAATTGCCCACAAAAATCTTATATATAAAAAACTAACATATCTATTAAATACACTGTAACCAGGGATATGTTGAGCAGTTTGGGTAAGCTTAGTATAAAGTGCGATTACTGGGACAGTGGGTGTCGCGAAGTGATTAAACTGGAGGACTTGTCTCAGCATACAGTCAACTGTCGATATAAGTCGGTAAAATGTTCAAAATGTCAGTGCGTGCATACATCGGGACACGATTGTATCGATGCGTTGCTCGCAGAGATCGAGGCATTAAAAATCACTAAAAATGACCATGCTGATAATAATTGTGATACTATTGGTTGTAGTACTAGTAGTGATCATTCAATAAAAATTGATTGCCAGATACTGGCCGAGTGTAGGCGACACCGGTCTGTACCGGAATTGTTGGACACCGGTATGAGCACCGATTGGACCGACAAAACACTGGCCATAATTAGCGAACAGTTGGCCAAACAAAACAATCTATACCTGGTGTGCAAGTATGTGGTCAATCAAATGGATCTTGAATTTGGCAGCCAATGGCACTGCACTGCTCACTCGAGCCCGAATAGCTCAGAATATTACCAGATTGACAACGATCGTCATTTAAAAGTAAAATTCACCCCGATCACGTTCATGGTATTTTATAGCGCTAGGGTAAATATTTAATAATTTTTAAAATTACGGTATTACCCTAATAAATTTACTTTTTATTATATTTATTGCAAGATATTAATTATTTTATTAACGGCATGTAGCTGAATTGGTCGATATTCGTGTCCCGGCTCAGTTTAAACAAATTTTGCCGCAAATTAACAATAATCTACACTGATATGAAACCATCGATGGTATCGTGGGTGTCAGCCTTTGTGAATATGGTTATGTGTGATGCGGCCAATCACCGGTCGCTCAGTATGAAAGCTACGGCCGCCAACATTGGGGCAAAAGTGGGCGAAAAATATCGAGGTCGAAAGTGGCAGTGCATTATCTATGGGCATGGCTCCGCCAACTATCACGTGACTAGTGTGCCTGGCACTTATTTACATTGTCACGTAGATCAGCTTAGTTTGCTTTTGTTTCAGGTTACATCTAAAAATTTTAAGTCATATGATTAATGATGAGAATATACTCTATTAAAATCAAAATGTTTTAAAATTTTCAAATTCATTATATAATTATTTTATTTAATGAGACATTTGAATAAATATTTTTATTTTGTGTATTTAGTATTTTTGTTTAATTTGTAACAATTAGTATTTCATTAAATGTAATGAATAATTATTGTTATTACTGTTTTATCAAGATGATTAAATAAAATGGAAAATCCGTTTATAAGCTAATGTAAAGTGTAAATAATTGTAATTACACTTTCTTTGGTAATGATTAAATTATTATAAACGTCAATAAATTAAAATATTAAAATATACATTTATATTAAAACATAATTTGTATATAAAATCACACAGTGTTATTTATTAAAAATAAATTACTGTATCTATTAACTGACATACAAACATACAGTGTAGTTAACACAGTTAATTCATAGCATAAGTGTAATGTACAGTCAATCAAAAGTACAGTCGTGTAATATTAGTAGTAATTTCTATTTTATTATCATTGAATCAACAGTTGATGTGAAATCCAAAATGTATAGTCAGTTCATTCGTTAGACTCATTAACACTTTGTTTTTTGCTAAAATATGTTTTACGTGTCAATTATTTTTGCTTTTATTAATAAACTGTTTAATCAAATAACAAATTAATAAATGCCGGGCTATTCAAGTGATCGGTTCCCCGACCTGTCGGCTGAAGATCGGGACAAATACACTTGTAGTATATGTCAGCAGATATTTGACTGTCCGGTGACCACAACCTGTTGTCTACAGACCTTCTGCGAGGACTGTATTACTAAATGGCTTCAGACCAACACTACCTGTCCGTATGATAGGAAATCATTGAACAAGGGTGAATTATCACGAGCACCAAGGTAACATAATCATAATGTATATACAGTATATGTACTGTATTAACTAAAATACTTATTAAATATCAGGGTAATGGTGAACACCCTTGGCCGGTTTAATATAAGGTGCGACTACTGTGATGGCGGGTGTAGGGAAGTTGTTAAACTAGAAAGCTTATCCCAGCATACAGTCAACTGTCGCTATAAATCTGTAAAATGCTCAACATGCCAGTGCGCTCATATATTGGGACACGACTGTATCGAAGCGCTACGGGCAGAAATTGAGGCATTAAAAATGACTAAAAATGATAAAGCTACCAATTATTATGATGGTGGTAATAGTAGTAGTAGTAATGATCAATCAGTACTATCTGATCACAAGATACTGGCCGAGTGTAGGCGACACATACCTGCACCGGAAGTGTTGAACACCGGTATGAGCGCCGATATGACCGACAAAACACTGTATATAATTAGCGAACAGTTGGCCAAACAAAACAGCCTATACCTGGTGTGTAAGCATGTGGTCGAAGACATGGAGCTCGAGTTTGGCACCGATTGGCACTGTATGACCGACTCGGGCCGCAATAGTGTCGGCTATTATAGGGCCGTCAGTGATCGCCATATGACGGTCAAATTCACCCCGGTCACGTTCAACGTGTTTTATAGCGAAAGGGTACATTTTATTTATTTATTATTATCTAAATACGTTAGATTAAAAATTTAATGTAAATCATACTGTTTGTATTTTATTATGTATAAGTAAATTAATAATGTAAGATGTTATTATTAATTATTATTTAATTAATGTACACAGCTGGATTGGACAGTATTTAAGGCCCGGCTCAAGCATAACAAAATTGACCGCGTGTTAAACATATACAATGG